TGCTGTCATGTTGACAGTAAAAAAAAACATGTTCAGTTGCTGTAAAATCAGACTCACTAAAAATACAGGATTTACAGTCAAGGTTAAAGCTTTTACTCGGGAATTCTTTACAACGATATATGTTATTAAGGATTTTAAAATTAATCTCTTTAGTTTTTGGAGGGGTGAGAAGAATAATGTCCTGCCACAGACACCTTGACCCTCCTTGACCCCCCCAGTCTCACTGGTACTGGAATACGTTACAGGCATATATATGAAGCAAAATTAAACTGGTAAGATCTGTGAAAATAAAATAGCCCTTCTGTGTGAGCAGGGATAATCTGAAATCTTTTTATATCACAAAATGCACCCAGAGAGATTTTCTCCTTTAAAGTAAGATTCGTGCCCCAAACTTATGAGGTCCTCTGTCTGCATTACAAATTCTGGGCAGGTATGTTTTGCTTGTTAGGGTGTGTTTGGCGATTTTGCAAAGCATTACGGAACTATACAAATGCAGACATGCAGGGCCCTCCATAAGTGCTGGGACAGTGAAGTCAGAATTGCTATTTTCAAGGATTCTCCAGCAATTCGGATTTGAGATGAAAAGATGAATATTAGTTAAAAGCACAGAACATCACCTTTTATTTCTGGATATTTCTGTGCATACTGTATATGCTTTATATTTAAGAATAATACAACTTGTGTTCCACCCCCATTTTAGGTGAACATAGGTATTGGGACACATCTGGACTTAAAGATGAAACTCTGCAGTTTAAACAAATGTTAATGCCATGTAAGGTGCAAGAAACACATCTGAGCACAAAGCTTTGTTTCCCCGTCTGTCCTGTAGTGTGTTAACTTTGGATTTGTCGCCCTCTAGTGTTCAACTGCACCCCAGAAACGGAATATAGTGTTGTACCATTCCTTCTCGGGTGCTCTTGAAATAGATGTGATGTCCATATCACATCACACCAGCTCTTCGGGCCAAGTCCCATGTGAGAGTGTTAAAGATTGTTTTATTCCTAGGAACTCACTACGACCTTGTCGATTTCTACAGGGATGGGTTTTGGAGGGTTTTTCGAAAAAAATCAATGAACATTTCCTCTGTTTCTCTGTTTGGAGGCTGTTGAGCTGAAGGTTTTTGTGGACATCCACTTCCCTCCTGTGTCTGGTTTCCTCTCGATAAGACCCATGGGTGGTGTTATGTGCAGACTTGAGCAGCATGACAGAGGGGTCGCTGGAGGTATAGTCGTTGGTGTTCAGGGAGTAAAGCAATGGGGAGACAGCACAGCCCTGAGGTGCACCAGTGCTGACAAACAAGACCCATCCGCCCATATTGCCTTCTGTGTGTTAGACAAATAGATCATCCACTGGCAGGTGGGGAGAAGAACATTTTAATAGGAGAGTTTATTGTGGAGGAATTCTGGGATGATGGTGTTGAATACAGAGCTACAATCAACAACATAGAGACACGCATATATTCCCAGAGATCCCAGATGTTGCAGGATGTAGTGAAAGCAAATATCAACAGCATCATCAACAGAAACCTTCCTGCAGTTTTAGTTTGCAAAGAGTTTTAGGACTTCTTGTTCTTTAATAACAAGTGTAACATTTTTGTATTCATATTAATATGAAGGAAGAAAGTAAAAACTGCACCTGCTAAAGGTTGAATTTGAGAGCGAACGTTTTCATTCTAAAAGGAATATGTGCGGTCACTAACTATTAAAGTGAACCAATCACGTTGTTGTAATTCCTCAACCTTCCACGGGATGGCGGTATGACTGATTAAGCAGAGCTTTCTGGGAGATGTAGTCCTTTACTGGGGACACTATTGCTGAAAAAAATTATCCTTTGGATTGGACGTAAAACCGAAGTCCTGACTCACTGTGGTCATTAAAAATCCCACGGTGTTTCTTGAAAAGAGTTCACAGTGGGTGAAGTAGTGGTATTTAGCATGTCCTGTGATTTAGTTAACTTTGATTTAACAGTGCTGTCCTGACGAGGCTGACTCGTGTCAGTGTGGCCCAGAGTAATGAGCTTCAGAACCAACTGGCTGCGGGGGGTCTTCTTAAGCTTCAACTGGGCCTTGTGGTGGCGGTAGAGATCTGGTCACCGTTTTTCACGTGTAGACTTTATTTTGCTGTTCTCTTCTGTGCATAAACCTCCGGTCTCTCTTTCCCTGTGTGCGTGCGCGCACTCGTCAACCGGAAGTTGACGGCTATACTGTTGCGTCGTCTTCCGGAAGTCAGTGCGAAAGTGATTAGTATGATCAGGTGAGTTTCGGTTTATTCTCAAACATTGAGCTTTTGCTTTTTGTCGTATAAAAATACATTGGTTTTTTTTAGTTGTACGAGTCGTCGGTAATATTCTTAAGCTGTTGTGACTGTTTATAGAGGGCTGGAGAGTTCCTGACTTATCTGCTGTCCTCTGGTTTATTTGTCTTCTTGCTAGGCAGTGTAGAGAGAAGCAGAAGTTTTGGGATTTTTTTTTTTGCTGGAAACGCGACTACCTTTAGCACAGCTCTTCGTCAGAGCCTCAGCTTCTCCACGATCGATTCCGAAACTGCGTGCCGCCGCAAGATCCGAAAACGGTAGATGAATTTCTGTCAGATCATCTCAGTTCTGTCCCAGGGCCAGTTAGGGTAGAGGGCTAGACCCGTCTCCTACCAACAAGAGGTAATGTGTTTTATTTACCGCGCTTATAATTGTACTAGTCGTGTTTGTGCCCCTGCTGCCTCTTCACTGTGGCGAGAGCATCGCATCTGATTGAATTCGTTTTGAAATTTCTTCCCATCTGCAATCCCTCTCTCAAACGATGCACAGTAACGCTGTAAGACTATTTGACTGTACTCGTGGTGTGTGATGTTTTTGTTGTGTCGGACTCTGCTGTAAAACACACTTGCCCCAGGGGACGATAAAGCTCCATTTAAAATGACTACTTGTTACCCCTGGTGTCTCAGCAGCACACCATTCACACCGACGAATCGCATTTGCTCTACTGTTCGTTCCTCTTGGTGCAAGAAATGTTTTCTGTGAACTACGGTACACAAAGAGGTGCCCCAGATTGGCGACACCTTCTTCCTGGACGTTTTAATTTAGTTTTGTTGCAGCCGGGATAATGAGGAATCGATGCGGTCGGAGTGTCTCCGATCTCGATATACGGACTTCGACACAACAGGCTGGATTAGTGTGACCAGGCAAGCTAGCTTTGCAAATACCTGTTTATTTTGGAACCGATCTGAACTGTGTTTTGTTTTTTTTACCTCATCCGGCTTTGATGCCTGTTCGAGTTTTCTGCTTGTAAGAGTAAGTAGATCGTGTTTCAGTGACGGCGTGCAACTCCAAAAGCGCAACATTTTTAAGGTCGCTGTCATCACCTGTACTTCAGTTTGCCTCGGTTTGAAATATTCTATATTAAATATTTACTATAATCAGAAAGATATGCATGACCGTCTGCGATTCTGTTTCTTTCCCCCAGTAAAACGCACCGCGCTGGGGCTGCTGTTCCCGGGCTGTTTACTGTAAGTGGTGAAACAGGAATCATCAGCAGATGTCTTGTTAAGCAAGAAGCGTAAATAACCAACATGCAAATATGGAACATCAAGTGCGCTGGAAGCTAAATTAGGAACTCGAGAAAATTCGGAAAGGGGGGGGGTCACGTGGGTTTGCCCAGCTCGTTTTTTAAGTTAGGAGGAGTGAGGGGTATGCTTGACCCCGAGGACACAAATATGATGGAATTGTTTGGGTTTTTTAAAATACAGCTTCTTGTTTCTACATACTGTGGACCTGTTAACCTCTCCACAGCTGATGAGGGAAGGGGGAGAGGCTGGGGTACGGGGGGTTGAAAGATCGTTGTGCCAGCATTAGTATTAATAGTGTAGTATTAGTACCAGTCCAGTTAATTTGTCACGTGCACAAGTGCAATGAAACGCTTATTTGCATGCATGCTCCAATACAAAGACATTGAAGGAATCGCCAAAAACACAAACACAGGACAGCAGCAGCAGCAACAACAGGAAGTTAAAAAAACATACAACTTAAAATATCGGTGTGCGCCGGAGGTAGGGGTAGAGTTCAGTGATCTGACAGCTCGTGGGAAGGAACTGTCTCTGAATCTGGACGGCCGTGCCTTCATGCTCCTATAACGCTGACCAGAGGGAAGGGGGGGAGAAAAGTGGGAAACCAGGGTGATTTCTGTCCTTAGTGATCCTTCCAGCCTTCCTGAGACAGCGAGTTGTAAACATGTCCACAGTAGAGGGGAGCTGGACTCCAGTGATGGACTAGTAGTCTTAGTAGTGATGCAGGGTCCCCAGCTGACTTTTGCCCAGCAACAGAGAGGCGACCCCAGACTTGGAGGAGATGGGGTGCCCTGCTCATTGGGGTTCCTGGAGCACAGCCTGCAGTGAAAGCCCACAGGCTCCCAGTGTCCAGTGATGGGCCTGACCACGGCAGAGGGCAGTGTGGAAGGGGATTTGTATGACAGGACCCTCGGAGCTGTGGTCTGTGAAGGGGCTGTAACAGCTGTCCAGATGAGAGAATCCGTGCCAGTGGGTGGTTTGTTCTGTACCTCTGCAATGCTCTGTGTGGAGAAGGTCCTCCTGCTTTCAGTTTTGGACAAGACTAAAGGAATCAAATTCCCTGAACATGCTTAAGACATTTGTTTCCTCCTAGAGCAGTGGATAACAGTTCTCATCTAAGAGATTAATAATTCCCTCTGGTTTTTATTCCATCTGAGGTCTGAATGAACAGTCTTTTCAGTTGCTTACTAATTGTCATTAATGTGTCTGCACATCAGCCATTTTATGCTGCCTGTGAGGTCCTCAAGGCTGTGACTCTCCAGGAGCTGGGTTACTGACCCCTGTTTGAGAGGGACATCTGCTTGCTACTGAGGGTAGCCTTCAGTCTTAAGTGGGCAGTATTTGTCCATATTAAGTCAAAAGGGAGTGAGATCCTTAGTCATATTTTAAAACTATTACGTATCGAAACGGAGACACCGATGCCATCACCCTCTCGCCCCGTTCAAGTGTTTTGGAAATTTTCTAACCTGGTAGCTGGGGGATTTTTAAGAAACTTGCCACGGCCTGGAAGCTGTGCCCTCAAGTACTTAGTCAGCCTCTACAGTCAGCACCCAGGCAGGGGTGTTGAGGCTGTAAAAAGCAGAAGTGCCTGTTCTCTGTAGGCATGTGTGCTGAATCCCCCTTCGGAGTCCTCACAGGCAAGCAAAGAGGTAATTTGGTGAGGCTTCTGAGAAAAAGAAAGCTCCAGATTTGCCTGTGAAACTAGGAAGTCATGGCTGAAACACCTGACGGCAGCAGTATATTTCTACATAATCAATGCATGGATTGATGCTCCTGTAAAACATGTCTTCAGCGGGAATTCTCTTCCCATCCCTGTCTCTCTCCCTTTAGAGTGCAGTAAGATGCCGGGGGGGGTGGAGAATGGAGACCTGGGGGCCAGTCTCCCAGCCATCGCCTCTCTGAACGCCTCGTACTCCCAGAATTCCTTGTCCCTGCCTCCATACTACCTTGCCCCTGGGGAGCGCAAGCTCATCTCTGACGTCCGCCGGACTTTCTGCCTCTTCGTCACCTTCGACCTCCTCTTCATCTCCTTGCTGTGGATCATCGAGCTCAATGTCCGTGCCTTTGTCCCTCTCTCTTTCTGTTCAGGTTTTTCTTAGAAAATAAGACAGGTTGCAAATGAGCCAAGACTGTTTGACCCTCGTGTACCCAAATGAGTTAGTAGCTAATTGATTTTAGACCCTGTCCAGCCTGTTTCCAGGAAATGAACAACATGTCTGGACACCTTGTTCATGTCTTCCACAGTCCTTTGTACGACAACATGCCTCCTGTTCTCTTGGAACTGTGTATACTTAATTTGCATTTGTCTTGTATTTTGTCTATTGGTTTGGCTTTTTTCAGGAAGTTTGACAAATTTAAATACTTCAGCCAAGCTGTTGGAACCTGTAGCTTAAGTCCAGTCTGTTAGTCTCTCTCTGCTGCTGTTGTTGTTGGCCCAGTGTCCTTAACTGTGTCCCCTGTCCTCAGATAAAGGACTCTATCTGGGAGAACCTGGAAGAAGAGGTCATCCGCTACAAATTTGCATCTTCTTTCTTCGACATTTTTGTGAGTCTCCTTTTACAGTCAGAAATTACACAAGCGAGTGGTGTGAAGTCCAGCTGATTAGACTCATTATAATAAGTGAAGACTGCTCATTTACTGCAAATCCGACAAACCAACGAAGCATGGTTCTGATTAACTCTTGGTTTCACTGTATTGGGTGCAACAATGATGCAGGGGTTTTCTGACACCTTTATGAAGGGGTACAGGGTGTGAGCCTGTTCCATTCCTGTTCTTTTCTCCCAGCTCCTGGCAGTGTTCCGGTTCGTGTTACTGCAGCTGGGCTACGCGGCTCTGAGACTGCGACACTGGTGGGTCATCGCGGTAAGAACCGGTCCAGAGGGGTGACGCTGGGCTCTTGGAGAACTGGGGAAAAAACAACAACCACCACCACCTAACTGCCTATTGCAGAATCATCTAAGTTATCTTCTAAAAGAGCTGTTTGAATTCCGTGATGAACTGTCTACTGTCCTTCCTTCTCTCCCAGATCACCACCCTCGTGACCAGCTCCTTCCTCGTCGCCAAGGTCATCTTGTCCGGTGTGAGTGGGCAATGTTTCAAAGAGCCCCAGCTGTATGAAAATGATCTCCGAGTCCCCCTAATTTAGACTTATTTTCCTGTTTCACTTCCACAATTGGTAGGAATGTAAACTTTCTGCCAGATCACCACCTTACAAACAAGAGGGGGTCATTTTGCCTGTCTGACTCTTTCAGTTCACCTAGAAGAAAGCAGTGCACTGGGGTTAACGTAGCTTGAATTAAGTCCACTTCTTCTTCAAGACCAAAAATATTCAGTTTGTTTAGCCTGTGTAAGGCTTTCATTTGAGGAGTGAACTTTGTTACTTTTAAGTGATTCCAGAGCAGCACTGCCCTGGTGCTCTCTGGGGTTGGGCTGTGTGTGATGTGATACCTTTGTGCTGGCAGTGCATTGCATTAGGCAGTACTGCCACAGTAGTGTTTTCCCTGCATCAGGCCTGCCTGTCCTTGTATGGCCACAAGGGAAATGTGAAAGTCTTTTTATTTTGGGGGCAAAAATGGAGTTCAAGTAAGAGATTGTTGGAAATACTCTGAAAAGGATAATGACTTGTAGTTTTAAGCATAACGGAAAACGCCCTGGCACATCCGGGTCTGCTCTGATAGCTGGTGTGCTCCGGTCTCCCCCAGCCCCTGTTCAAGAATGCCTTTGGGTATGTGCTGCCCATCACCTCCTTCGTCGTGGCCTGGCTGGAGACGTGGTTCCTCGACTTCAAAGTGCTCACCCAGGAGGCAGAGGAGGAGAGGGGTGAGAAAAGGAGCGAGAGGGGATGTGTTTGTAGGGGGTGCGAGATTGTTTTGCATGGAGAGGAAGAGACGGTTTTGTGACTCATAGACTTCGTGCTGCTGTACTCTGTTTTTCACTTTCTTTCTCCGTCTCCAGCTTCCACATTTTCCCCCGTTCTGTACTTGTCTTTGCCGGTGCATCTTGTCTGTCTTGTCACTCAGTGATCCCCTCTCTTTCAGCATATCTAGCAGTTGTGAATGCAGCATTGGAGAGGGGACCCCTGATCTATGCCCAAGCCTTCTCCGATGGCCAGTTCTACTCCCCGCCTGAGTCTCTAGCAGGTGAGATGGCTGTTTGCACCCTGCAACACACGCACATCAGTGGTGACCACTTCTAGGCTTGGAGAGCCATGTTCATGCAGGTTCTGTTCTCTTCACGCGTCACTATTCAGCTGTCAGTGACTTGGGGGGGGGGGGAGACACAGGCACAGTAATCATGGAAAGACCCGAGCGAATGAGAGCTACAAGCCCCTCCTGGCTTCTGAGGCCCAGTAATCACTGGATCATACTGATCAATAATGCTATTGATTGGCAGCTCCACACCTCAGTGTTTGCTTGCTCTGCAACCTGTTTTTGTGGAACAGCACAGCGGCTGCTGTGTCTGTGCCAGGGTCCAGGGTTCAGTTCTAACTTTACCCTTCTGTCTGTGTTGAGTTCTTCCTGAGTTTGTTTTTGTTTTTTTCCCCATGAGCTCTGGTTTCCTCTCTCTGCAGAAGGCTGTTTGACTTGAGTGGTTTTTCAGAGAGTTGTTCCTTTCTCCACAGCCTTGCAATGATCCTGTGCAGGAGAGCAGTCAGTTCAGTCCTTCCCAGGACTGATTGTTTAAGGGGTTTTCTGATTGTAGAGAGGTGGACGGACTGTTTTTCTTCATAAGTCTTTAACTAGCGGGTGTTCAAAGAGCTCATGAAAACAAGCTAGACTCACGACCTCACTGTTGCTGGTCTGGCCTGACGGCTGTCTCTCCACAGGATCTGATGACGAGCAGGAGGAGGAGACCCATGGGCGCAAAGCTGTGACTCCCCAGGTGCGCAGTGCCTGAGTGCATGTAGAGGTGAAATTCCCTGCTCGTCTCTGCGCCGCGTGGCTGTGTGGGTCGGTGCTAGACTCCCCCCCCCTCAGGCCCGGCGTCTGGGCCGTCCCAGGAAGTCCAATCTCTCTCTCTTCCTGTCGTCATCTGCCAGGAGAAGGAGTTTGTGCGGCAGGGCCGGGAGGCGATGGCCATCGTCGATCAGATCCTCGCGCAGGAGGAGAACTGGAAACGAGAAAAGAGCAACGTGAGTCTGTCCGTCTCTCGGCAACATCCCAGGAAGTCTGGGGGTGGTTACTAGCACGTGGGGCCTTTCTCTTAGTCTGTTTGTGAAAGCTCTGCTTTGTACAGTCTTACTTCTTGGGAGCTGTGCTTGTGTGCGATTGTGATTGAGGAATGGAGTCGTTTGTAACGTATTATCGTGACCTTGGTTAGCGTGTGATGTTTTTTCCAGAGATGAGTGTGTTTAACTTCACGGCAATTCTAGTTGCACAGTCAGGATTGTGGTGTGTGCAGTGTTGCTCTCTCTGTGTGTATCCGTGTGTAACAAGTTATTGATGATTTTTAGGAGCATGGAGATGCTGTTTACTCCCTGGAGATCCCCTTCCATGGGAAGACCTTCATCCTCAAGGTGACAGCCATCTCCCTCAGCCTAGTCTGTGCTTCCATCCAGCATGTTTAAATCTGAGGATTAATGGTTTTGTAGAATGTAATATTTCTGAATTCCCTTTTAGAATATTAAAATGTTCTAAAAATCAGAATGTAATCCTAGTACTAAAATTATACATAAATTGATAGTGTAATCTCTCGCTATAAATCAAGGATCAATTAGTTTTCAAATAATTACTCAAGTTTAAGAAAGGTGTTACATGATGTTAAAGCTGATTAATAGCAACTGCAGGCTGTAGGCCTGAAGCAAGAAAAGCAACATTTTTTAAAATAATTAGCTTCTTGGAGTGTTAAGGTTTCTAAAGTAAACATTTGGGTGCCATGTGTCTTTGACACTTGTCTTTGTCTGGTGTGCCTGTGCCTGACCAGGCCCTCATGCAGTGCCCTGCGGAGCTGGTGTATCAGGAGGTCATTCTGCAGCCTGAGAAGATGGTGCAGTGGAACAGAACTATCTCTGCCTGCCAGGTGCTGTGGATCTGGGTTGTGCGGGGATGTCCGATTGTTGTTTAATGGTTATTAATTAACGCTTAACTCATTAGGTTGAAGCCTTTATGTACAGTGAGCTGTGGTTGTAATTAGTAGACCACACAGTGCATTACTAATTGAATAATAAACCTAATTTTATATAGCTGCTTTAATCATGGCTTCTAAAAGCCCTTTACAGCATAACAGGAGAAGACCCTGTCACCCATAGAATGTAGACAGGCTTGGGGGACAGTTAGGAGACCAGAATTAGAAGAGCGAAGGTTGCGAGGTGGGGAGTAGGGCGATAATAGTTCAGACAGGTACTGAGGTGCCAAGCCATGCAGAGCCTTATAGGTGAGCATGAGGATTTTGATGTCGACACAAAACCTGAGAGGAAGCCAGTGCAAGGACTCCAGGATAGGAGTAATGTGATCACTTGTACTAGACCTGGTCAGGGTTTTGGATGCTGAATTTTGGGCGTCCCGGAGTTTGATCAGTGTGGACACTGTATGAGTAAAGGAAGGAACACACACAAAATGTGCAGTGCTTTCCATAACCGGAAGACTCAATTTCCTACAATGTGGGTTAGCATACTGGTTTAGCACAGAGCTGTGCAAAAGGAAATTGTGCTTCCTGCATGCTGTAGCTGGGAGGGGGTTGTTCAGCCAGTCTTACTTGTGTAGTTGCTGGTAGATTTTGAATCCAGGGGCCTCTTCTGGATGATCTTGGAAGGTCTATTTAACACACCTCAGTCCAGCACTTGCAGCTCTAGTTCTGCTTTGTTGTGCCATTCCCTGTTCCTGCTCTCTGTCCCCCGGACAGTGTGGTGTTAGACTGAGCCTTGGCCCTCCTGCTCTTTCCAGCTGTTTGTTCCCTAATTAGTCAAGAGATCCTCCTCTGAGGGCCAGGTGAGCTGTGCTGTGACACTGGTTGGCTCAGACTGGAACATCCTGGTGCCGTAGTTGTGAATGCCCCCTGTCAGTGCTGTGTGCGAGAGCTGTACTCTCTGTGCCGCAGATCCTGCAGAGGGTGGACGACAACACGATGGTGTCCTACGATGTCTCGGCAGGAGCAGCAGGGGGTGTCGTCTCACCCAGGTAACCTGTCGAAACGCTCGGACTGAAACTGCTCGTTTTCTTCTCTCTCTCCCTTTCGTTCCCCCACCCCTGTTGGGTGATGACAGTGTCGGTTGACTGCAGGTCTCCCTCTCTCTCGGTGTCTGTCAGGGACTTTGTGAATGTTCGGAGGGTGGAGAGGAGGCGGGACCGCTACATCTCTGCAGGAAAGGCAACCAATCACGAGTCCAAGCCGCCCCACGTCCGCTACGTCAGGTGAGTCGGACACATCCTGTTCCGTTTGCTCCCAGGCTGCCACCACCATGTGGTGGTCAGGTCTCGGGTCTCCACACGTTACACTTGCTGCCTTTCTCTGTATAGTTGCAGATCAGCTGTTTAATCTTACCAAGCTAACAAACAGTCCCCTCAGCCCCTCTGCTGTAAGTAAGAAGCAGATTCCCTTCACATCTTCCTGTCTGCGGAGGATATAAACAGTGCTGTTTTTTGCAGGGGTGAGAATGGTCCAGGAGGCTTTGTGGTCCTGAAGTCCAACACCAACCCATCTCTCTGCACCTTCATATGGGTCCTCAACACAGACCTTAAGGTGGGCACCCTGTTGTCTTGGAGTAGGATTATGTGTCTGTCGCCCTGTTCCTGTGGGTTTGAATGGGTGTTGCTTGTTTTGGCTCTGAGATTTCCTGTCTCTCCCTCTTTCTCAGGGTCGGTTACCACGCTACCTCATCCACCAGAGCCTGGCCGCCACCATGTTTGAGTTTGTGTCACACCTCCGCCAGCGGATTAGCGAGCTGCGTTCCACTCTGCGTTAGAGTGGTCCCACGCACGGTTCACCCTGCAGCACTGCCCCCTAGAGGCTCGGAGGTCATACTGCCTTCATCAGTGGCAATCCTCCCGGTTCTGCACTCAGACAGCCCTACTGGAAGGCGCGTTGCAGGAGGCACCACCCAGACTGATGCCTTTTTCCACAGGGGGGTGCTCATTTGTTTCTACTCAGTTTTCTAAGCAATGAAGGAAGAAACTGAAAAGCTCTCTGTACAACAATGAAATTTTGGAAGGATCATTGGACAATGCAAATGTGAAAAGGCAAACACGGGAGATGAACTGGAATCATCTTACTTATTCCTCTGTGTCCTCAAATTGATTGTATGTGATTGAAACCTGCTGCTGTTGTCTACCAGGGGGTATAATGTAGACTGGTGTGGATGTCCGAGCAGCACAGAAGAAGGACCACAGAGTGAGCTTTGCTGAGTCCATCTTGATGTTGGCTGTGGGGTCTTCCGTCCAGACTTTGGGTTCTGGTGAAGTGGGTTTCAGGTGGTCAACACCTAATTATCTGGTCCAATTTGCATTGCTTCTCGAATTCCTCTGCCCGGTTAAAGATACTGGTTCTAGTACGACTCGGTTCCAGAAGTTGTCTCATCTTTCCCCGTGGTCTTCATATTCACTTTTATGCCAGGCGTACCACAGACCCACCCAGCCAGACATAGGCAGACCTGAAAGGCATACACATGGGGGGCCGTGCATAAAAAAATAAAGAAATAAAAGGGCATGCATGCATAGCCCTGTTCTGTGAAAATGGGCAGCTTTTCCCTGAGAGTTTGCCTGCAGCACCAAGCAAAGAGCTCTGCCAGCTCAGCCTGGTGCTCAGGCAGGGCCCGAGCAGGTGTTGAGGACCCATTTTCATGTGGCACTCGCACAGCCGCGATCACGCTAAGCAAGACTGCATACAGCTACGTGCTGGGGCTGATGCTTATGGACCAAACCCAGGCTCCCATCCCCCTATCCCAGAGGCTCCGTGCATGTGCGATCACAGGACTCTTTTTGTTTTTTTCTGGTTTCCCTAGGAGTACAGGTGATGCCCTTTTGCACCCTCCCTTGGGTTTTAGAGGAGACTGATTCTGTATTGATCCCCCTCAGAGATGTGCTAGGCAGGCGGAGTGGGGTGCTGTCGATTGTACTTCCTGGCCTGCAGGTGTCCTGGAAGGAGCAGTTTCTACATGCACACCATGCAGTTCAAACTGGGTTGAACAAATTATGTCTGACTGGTTATTTTTTATATGTGTACATATCAAATTGAATTCTAGTTCTGCTTTGTTGTGCCAGTGTTGGATCACCAGTTCTATTCATGCTTTCTTACTGTTAACTCTGGGGGGAGGGGGTGTTTTCATATTGCAAAAAAACACTGATCGATGGTGGAAGACAAAATGAGATGGTGTGTGCACACACTCCTCTTCCCCATGGCCTTGTTCTAGCCTTTTGTGCAGTGTAAAAAGTCTGGCTGAATCACGTTAGTGCTGAACCATGGGGCCAGAGCAACCACTACAGAGGAGAATAATGCTGCTTACATCATGTGGAGGAATTTTGCCTTGCCTGACAAAAGAACTCGTGCCTTTTTGAAAAAATCAGGAAAAGAGGGGTTCACTTTGCATGCATTGTTTTTTTTCTTTTCTGTGCCAAACTGGAATTGCAGCCTTGTTCCACACGTTGGCCCAAGGTGCTTAGGGCTTTGTCGTGCACTGTGGGTGGAGGAGATTCTCGCTTGACATGTTAATGTTGCATCATCATACTGTATCGGAAATGGAGCAGAGCAGGGGTCTGAGTCATGGGCTGTCTTTGAGGTACCAGCAACTGTAACTTGAGCATGGATTTGACATTGTGCTGTGGGAATTGTTAAGGCGATATGAATTTTCAGAGGCAAACCTTCCTGGAATTGCAGTTCTACAAGAACAACTGTCTACTCTGTCCCTTTGTTGTTTTATTAATGGGTTTCTGGGTTTACAGTAGTACTGCCCTGACTCGAGTCAGTGTCTGACCACCTCCTCCAGAATCTGCAGTGCCTGGCCCTGACTATATTGCTTTTCCATTACAGGCAGCTTTTTTCCCCACATTTTCCAAAAGGGTTCTTCTTTGTAAGAGAAGGTGCTTGATCTTTCCTGCTTTCTACCTAATGTCAAGTAAAGTTGTGTAGACCGATGGGCTCAGTTAAATTAATTTGAAAAGTAATGTACAAATACAGATTTTTATATTTCAATTTCTGCTTCATCAGTATATAATTGCACAAGGGCCTGTAGCTTACATATCCTGAAGAGGAATTCTTTTTCCTTGTTTATAACCCTGTCGCATCTTCAGCTGGGTGCGGCCTATCTCCCTGCTCTAGGAGAGCTTCCCGAAACGAAATCCCGCACGGCACAGGGTGTCCTGGAGCTGGTCTGGCACCCTGGAGCAGCTGGAGTACAGCAGGCTCTTGTGATCGCTGCCCCCCAACAGATTGGCTCAGAACAATCGCGTCCTCACAGACCAGCCTCTCAAAGCTGCGATTGTTGCCGGTGCTGCTGCTGCTGCTGCCAGCGTTTGTGCTCCCTCACTCGCGTCCCTCATGGTAGACCGCACGGTGACTCGGGAGTCACAGGCCCCAGCCGAAGCAGTAGCAGAGAGAACACATCCGTGTTGCAGTGCTAAGAAGAGATGCATACACTGGGACCAGATCTCTCTGCTGGACTTGATCTCTGGGTCTCTGAGTGGGACAGACCCACGTATCTCAGGTCTGACTGCTCCGTAAAGCTGAGCTGGGTGAGGCGTTATTGGGGTATGCTGCTCTATCGACATTCCTGATGTGTAATTGACAGTAGCCATCTGATTATTCACCCAGGCAGCAGTGAGCACAGCCTTCAGATAATAGAAATTGCAACAGTGGTACCCTTGCTGAATTTCTGATTGCATGTGAGTGTCCTATGTTCTCACATAGACATTACTGTATTTATTAAGGCCAGGTTTAATAAAATGTCCTCTAAGGGCAAATTACGTTTTATAAACCAGCCAGCGTCTTTCTTACATTCTGAATAGTGACATGCTGTAACTGTTTGATGTGGGTCTGCTTTTGCTCTGGGCCGAGAGTCATCACCGTAGTGCACTATAGTAAATATACAGACATTGGCAAGTCTAGTCACAAACCTAGAAACCCGAATGCCGTGTCTGTCCGATGTGGAGACTGGTTCTCTGCGTCCTCCTCTTTCCTGAAATCTGGATCGATGGCAGTATCCGTTAAGGGATTCCCTGCACAGCCACAGCCTTCTAGGAAAATAAATATGGTAGGGGAGAGGGCACTTCAGGGACGAGGAGTTTATTATTATATTTTCAAGTATCTTTTGTTCTGAACCTGGCTCCAGAGACTAGTGGATCACCTGAGTTTAGTTACTCCTTCACTCTCACTCAGCCCAGTGTTTGCCTGATGTGACTGGTTTTGTCACAGGTCTTCATTTGGGTTATTCTTTATTATAAACCCACCCAGTCTGGAGAGCAAGCGCTGGGCATCAGAGCAAGGCAACTCTCGCTCACACTGCTGCCTGTTCCCAGGAGCACAGATGGTCACGGTTCTGTCTGTTTCTGCCCTTTCTGGCGCTCCTCTCGCCAGTCGTATACCAACCTGCCCGCTGAGCAAGCGACTTCGCTGGCTGAGCTGTGCGGGAGCCCGTTGGTTTAAAACCGAGACTGTCGAGTTTGACAAGTCCCTCGGGTTGCCTGGTTCTCTGTGAGACCTCGCTTGTTAAAGACCTGGGACAGAAAAGCACCCACGAACTGGTCAAAACGAGGCCTAGTGGCTGAAGCAGGCCATTGTTGGCTGAATTCGGCCACGGTGTTCTGCAAGCAGTCAGGTGTTCATTGTATCAGTGCTTCTTAAGTGAGTGATCGACTTGTTTAGTCTTCCAAGCCCATAATGATTAATTACAGACAACCAGAAGACCTGCAGCACTGTGGATCTCCTACAGGACTGGAACCATGGGACCTGAACACTATCCTTAACATGTCAAGGCCCTGTGCTTCTAGTCTCTCCCTGTTCCTCTCTATTTGTAGCTGTGTAGACTCTCTACATCGGAGATGCAAGGGTAGAAGTGCCCAGCCTAGCTGAGTGGCTTTAATGCAAGCCTGAATGGAGGCTTTGTTGAGAATGCTCTCGACACACACTCGCTCTCTGTGCAAGTGCTGAAGGCCAGCACACAGAAGACTGTTGTGTACGTGTGTGTCCCTCGGGGCAAGAGGAATCATCAGGGGACAGTCCTTCCCTCTTCCCTGCTTCACGTACAATGCCCCTGTCATGCACGCTGCCTCATGGAGAGAGGTGTGCGCAGGGGACGCAGGCTTATCCTTTCCCCACTGGGACTGAGAGAGGGGGCTACTTCAGCTGGCTTGAGTATTCTGCTTCAGCTCTCTCTAGGGATCAATTCCTGGTGTTCTCCCATGGTGTTGGGATGGCGCCCTGTTCCGTTTCTGTCTCCTAGTTGTAGATTAGGGCCCCTGGAAACGAGCACATGAAAGCACAGTAAAAGCTGCGTGCCTCCCCTGCCTGTGCTGCAGTGTGTCAGTGCCAGCTTTGATTGGAGTTTGTTCCTATAGAGAAAGAGCCCAGGTTCTGATTTCCCACTGTGTTCACAGTGTCCCACTGGATAGAAAGCAAAGGGCAGTTTGTCCAGAGACAGGAGGCCATGTGGGTTCTTGGGCGGGAGGGTTGTCCCTCAAGCATGCAGGGCCTAGCTCTGAGCATTACAGCAGCCCAGCCCAGAATCTGTGTCCTCAGTCTATCGGTATACTGTATCATAGCGAGGCAATACTACATGATACAGCAGCCATGCTTTGCTGCTCTGCATTTCTCCGGTTTCCCCCCTGCATGAATTGCTTTCAGCTCCTTCATAGCTGTCCTCGCCCTGCCCTCTCCCCATCTCCCCACTCCACACTACATTTCTTCCACACTTCTTCTCCACTCTGTGCCTTCATCCTCTTCCTCATTCCCTGCGTCCTAACCCCCCCCCCCCGCTCCCCTCCGCTGGGTGCAGGAGCTGGCTGTCTCGGGCCCTGAGCCCCTTGGCGGTTGGCGCAGATCTTGTGATCGTTCAGCTGTTCCGTCTGTACGGGTGTGATCTCAATGGGCCTCTCAGCTTTGTAGCTTTTAACAGTTTGCAAGGCTTTTTCCCATTTCAGAAAAAAAAACGGAGAGAGCAGGTTAGCAATGGATGTGTTGTCCGCAGTCAGGTGTGCGGCCTGTGTGCTTGTGGCGCTGGTGGTGAGCGGTCAGTGACGAGGGTGACAGCAAGGGCGACTGTGTCAGGGCTGGGTTCCTCCACTCCAGGAGGGCCTGCAAGTATTACAGGTGCTTTGTTAATGAGCAACTGAGCAAGAGCTATAAACAACAAATGATCCAATTTCTTATGCAAAAAGCTGCTTCAATTAGGCCATTTCAAGCTGGACTGAAAAGTAGAGGATGCCACAAACCCCAAGGACTGTGTGCACCAGTCACTGAGGGAATGTGTGTTGAAACAGCTCTGAGGGCTTGTGCTGTAAATATTGGGCTACTCTACTAGGTCATGAATCTCTATTAGCCCAGTTGCACTCTTACCAAGAGCCTTTCTCCTGACCAGACGAGAGGGAGTGCTTCGTAGCAGGTGACCTGCCGCGTCTGAACATCTGTCAAGCAGGACTGGGGTCCAGAAGAGCACGTGTGGGCCGGCTGTTCGCACCCGGAGGAACGTCTCCTGTGTGGGCTGGGAGCAAGGGGCTGAGCCCAGGCCTGTTTCATGTGACCCAGGCTGGAAGTCTGAAGCTCAAGAGATCAAAGGCTGCCTTTGGAGAGCTCGGTGAGCAGGCTGAGAGGTGGGGGGGGGGGGCTGAATTTGCCCCTTGTTCCCTTGGGTCTCCTTCCTTTACCCACTCCCTCAGCTAAGCTGTGTGCCCGTGAGTGTGAGTTGTTTCTTTTCTGATCATCCCAGGTGGTTGTCGCAGTGAAGGCAGCTGATGGCCGGTGCTGTGAAGCCTGAGCAACACTGAAATACCAACCCCACCCCCCTGGTACTTCTCAGGTTTTACAATGTAAATGTTCTCAAAAAACTTTTAATCATTGTCCAGAATGACGATACACTGAAAGACAGGAGGGCTATCATGGTTGCTGTTTTTTAGGAGGTAGAAGGTGTTCATGTTGGAGTTCGTTCAGGTTTGTTGGCCTGAACTCTGGCTGTGTGCAGCGTCTGTCTACAGTGCTGTCCTGGGGCAGTGGGCGGAGAGGATACGGGGAGCCGAGACCGCGGTACCCTCACACTGTCAGCCAGTGGGTGCCAGGGGCAGAGAAAGGGGCTGCACATGACTGCACTGTGACTCCCTGATTGCAGTGAGTTTATTTCAGTTTTCTCTAAAAACCGTGTGTCTCTGGCGCTGTGTGTGCGGGTCCTTTTCTCAGTTTGAGCGTGTGTAGCGCTGCTTCACTGTAACACAAGTAGTGGGCTGGGATGCAGGCAGCAGTCTGATCTGCTGTTAAATCTACAGTGACGGGAGAGAGTCTCTGGGACCGGCTCACACAGTCAGAGGGATCACAGTAGTCTTTTTTTCACAGCCTCCTCACTTCTGGACCAGAACCATCGGGTCTCCCCATCGGATCAGGACCTCCCTGGTATTCAGCTGCATGTGTATCCCAAGGATCTGAATCTGTGCAGCAGGATGCTTTCATTCCAGCCCTGAGAAAAGAGATCAGGCTGTTTGTCCCATCTGCAGTTTGGGATCAGAACCAGTCTTCAGAGGTCAGTCCCGGGATAGAGTCTGGAGGTGGGAGATCAATTTACTAGTTAATTCATCTTGTTTTGTGGACCCAAATACTTTTTCTGTCACTCTGGAGCTGGACCAGGATTTATCTGACAGAGGTGCAGGTCTGCAGCAGTAGATCTCTTGTTATTTTGTAGTGCTGGACTAGAACAGCTCCGGTTCAGCTCCGGTGGTTCTGCAGCCTGTGAGCAGGGGGATTCTGGGGTCATTGCTGGGTTAGTGGGTCACCATCGGGCCAAAAGATAGTGCCACCCGAGTGGCCAAGACGACAGCACAGTCGCCCCGGTACAACTCCTGCAGTTCTTCAGGTTATCTCCAGTAAGCCTGAGGGGTCTGGTACCAGTTAATCTCCAGTCTGGATGGGAAGCAGCTTCACTTTTGAACTAGCATAACCTCCGCAGATAGCGAGCATTCAGACCACTACATTGAACCCAGCTGGCAACTTTACAGCCCTGGGAAGAAATTCTGTTCATGTCGCTCTCCTCTGTTTCAGTCGGATCTCCAGAACCGATCCAGTGGTATTGATCTAGTGAACCGCAGTTTGGACTCCCCTGTCAACACCGGTGCACAGAGAGGTCTGCTCTGCCACGCCAGTCTACATTCCCAGCTCAGCCCTGGTCTGTTACCAGCAGGCCCACTCCTCACGGACCTGCGAACTCTCCAGTAGACCAGTGTCAGACTCCCGGCTCTCCAGAACAACTCCAGTCGGGGTGCCATCAGAACTACCGTCCAGGACTCCAAATCCCGGGCTTCGTCGAAGCGTGCTCCCTGCGTGGCACCAGGTTCTGACCCGGTCAGCCTCCCCCTGGTGCAGCGATGGGCTCTGGACTCCGAGGGTTCTGCACGCAGTACTGCTGCTGCTGCTGCTGCGGAGAAGAGGAGCCGGAAGAGAAGAGCCCCATTCTGAGGTACCGATCGGCCCCCCGGCCCGGCCCGCCTCTCGCGCCCTGAAGTGTCTGTGTGTGTGTGTGAAGGCGCTGTGTCTGTCCTCAGCGAGACGCTGCAGTACTTCGACCGCGAGGCCAAGAGGCGCAGGGCGGAGGAGACCAACCTGTGGAGCGAGCCGGCCGACAAGTCACACACAGAGAGAGACGACGACCGCGAGCTGTACAACCTGCTGCACAGGAGAGCCAAGACACGGCGGGGGTCCCAGGTCAGAGGTTAGAGGTCAGAGGGAGAGAACCAGGGGAGAACGCATTTTTCTTTGCACATACCCTGTATGAAATGTGATGATGGAATGCAAAGCCATTTCAAACATTGATCTACTGGTCCTGTCTGTATCTGAATTGTTATCTAAGCCACGGTGAATTGTTATCTAAGCTTATCTAAGGAATAGCTGCCCTGAACTTTGCCCTGATTGAAGAGCATTATTGTTCTCTGTCCATCAGTGATCAGCTGGCAGTTAATCAATCTGCCTTTATTATCATTTAATTAACCTACATTATTACCTTATTCTAATGGTCATTTCCAGAGCATCTACCCCAGCACACTGTAGGGTCTGTAAACAGTGTTTTGAGTTTGAAAGGTTACGACTGTAAAAGTCGGGTCACT